AAGCCTACCAGTAGAGTGTTGTGTGTATATATATGAGACATTATACAATAGTGTCATTTGTGTGAGCATACTATGGTGTAGAGTTTGATTCTTCTTCCAATTCAGGATTTCAGTAAGGTAGTGTTTGGCAACTAGCATTTCATTTCAATTCATGCATTTCAATTCCAAAATTTGAAATCCTGAATTTCAAATGACAAGGGGAGGTGCATGGATTTCAAATTAAGCTTTGTTTTGAATGTAAAGAATTTGATTCAAATCCAAATTTAAAATGCTTAAGTTTTCCAAACATGGAATTTAAGCCAAATCCGGATTTGAAATCCAAATCCATGTTCCCAAACATAAAGGTAATTGAACTAAAAATTTGTTCGGGCCTACTGTCATGTCCCCTTACGTAGATAAGCATCCTTAATCAGAGAGATCATTGCAATGAACTACCAAATTGCCGATACAAAAGTGAAAGGAGACATACATAACCAGGTTAAGTTATCTAGAAATGAAAACTCCACAGTATAAGTAAAGGAAAAAGTGTTGAAGAACCTTGGAGGGAAGATTTAGAAGGGACACGTGATGAGGGAAATGTTAAGAAGAATTTCATGGTTCTCAAAGTTGAGGATGATGGTGATGGTGATCTTGGCGTCGACGAACTTCTAAACATGAGACAAACTAAGTCACAAAGTCAGAATATTGTGGTCTTATTAATATAAAATATTAAGCTTGAACTTTAAACCTTTAGTTTATTATGTTTGAATTATGAACTTTTGGTTGTTTATTCAACTTTAAAGTTTTTCTCCAATATTGTTATCATTATTGTGTTTGAGTTATGGCGTTATATGTTGTTGAAGCCGATCGAGCCATATAAATACTCTGTATATGAATGAGTTTTACTTTATTGACTACGTGTGCCTTGAATATGAGAGGTCCGCTCCTCACGCCTCAGATATTTTTGGGAAGAGTGCCTCGATATGCCTAATGCAGTAATGCCTTTTAAACCTAGAGAAGAAAAGAAATTCTCTTTTTAACCAAATAAAGAAGTATTTTGTCAATCGTCATTTGTTGAGTTAGGTCAAATGTTCTCTATGAGCCACTTATGAGAAGTAGGATTTTTTACATCTTTAATAAACATTGAGGGTTTGACAAAAACCTACCTGGGTGAAGCTAGTTTGGAACAAGCATAGTCTGCCAAAACATCAATTCATCCTATGGCTGATTGTTAAGGGTAGAATACAAACCAAAGAAAGAAGTAATAAATTCTTTCCTGTAGATACTACTTGTTTGTTGTGTAAAAGTGAAGTAGAAGACGTAAACCATCTCTTCTGCACATGTGCTTTTACTAAGAAAGTTAGAGAAGAGGTGTTTGTGGCTAAAAGGTTTGGTGCCTGCATTTGGGGGGGAGGGGAGACTGTTGATGCCATTGGGAATAAAATTATGCAGACTCCAGTACTCCACAAAGAAAAGAAAGGAATATGCAGGCTGCCCTATTTGCTGCCCTAAGCTATAATGTGTGGAGAACAAGAAATTATGCACTGCATAAGAATGAAGAGCCTGGGGTAACCAAATGCGCCCAAAAGGTAATACACCAGGTAGAGGTTTTTTTGAAAGGTAAAAGGAGTAGTTTAATGTGGTATTGATTTGTTTTTTGGTTTTTTATAGAGTAGAGTTCAGGGTAGTGTTGGTTTGATTATGTAAGATTGGATGTATTCTTCACGGTTGTTATAATGAGAAGTGCATTTCGTTCAAAATAAAATATTAAGGGTTTGACCTACATGCTCCATTTTTAGGGAGTGTAGAATTATAAGATGTTACAACATGGATTTGAACTACATGCTTTGTGGCAAATTTTCGTACTTGTGGAAATGAGGCTACACCTAATTAGTGGCCAATGTCAAAAAAATGAGGCCACAAGATAGTGGAAGCATAACTAAGGGAGGAAGAATATGAAATATATTATATATACTCTGTAATATTGATGATAGATAGTAATTCAATAAAAAGAGTGGATTAGATTATCCATGTACATGCGTTATGATTAATTAAGCCTACCAGTAGAGTGTTGTGTGTATATATATGAGACATTATACAATAGTGTCATTTGTGTGAGCATACTATGGTGTAGAGTTTGATTCTTCTTCCAATTCAGGATTTCAGTAAGGTAGTGTTTGGCAACTAGCATTTCATTTCAATTCATGCATTTCAATTCCAAAATTTGAAATCCTGAATTTCAAATGACAAGGGGAGGTGCATGGATTTCAAATTAAGCTTTGTTTTGAATGTAAAGAATTTGATTCAAATCCAAATTTAAAATGCTTAAGTTTTCCAAACATGGAATTTAAGCCAAATCCGGATTTGAAATCCAAATCCATGT